TGAAACTTTTCTTCTTCGTCACAAATGCACCCTTAGTGTTGTGCTATATCATATGTGTGCTTGGTAAATAGTGCTGTATTCTCTGGTGCTGTTATTTTGAAGCTGAAAACAAGAAGGCAGGAATCAAAGACCATTTACATACAGAATATTGTGTTAGTTCATTGGGCACTATCCATCCATTTTCCTTCCACTTATCTTAGGATTTGCTCCCTCAACTGGCCGGATCTGGGAGAATCCTGTGGCAGCCCCAGTAAAATTAGAAAAACCAACATTAGCCAAACATGTACTCACACACCATAACAGCCAGTACAAACATGCATTGGGTGGAACCAAAGTCCATAGTTCCCAGCTTACCTTATCTAGAGGTGAAACTCGAATCCAGCTGAAAACAATACAAGCCACTCCTGCAGTCTGTGATTTGGGTTTGAAATCCAACCTGCAGTCTCTCCAGTCCACGGACACGTATTTTGATCCATTCTTAAATGCATAACCGTGTTTATCCTCCTCCGCCTAGGCACACGTGTGCTAGTAATATAAAAGTTGTCCATCACATGCAAAAGCAACCTCTGCAGTGCTGCTTTTGAGCTTATGGGATATCAAAAGTGAAACCTAAGAAAGGACTAATGGCCTCAATTATAACTAAAACTGAAACGATTTTGAATACACCATTGCCTTTTCGAACAGCAAATTATCCTGTTGTATATAATAACAATCTGGCTATCCCTGTATTTAGCAGGCTGGTCTGTAATAGGCTCAGAAATGCAAGGCTCACTGCTCCTGAGTGGCATCAGGATGGGTCAAATGCAGAAGACAAATTTCCCAACGGGGACAATAAAGTGCACATTTACATTTACACATTTACACTGCGAAAAATTATAATCAATTATGGTTTTTCTCTTCATTTGATTTTGTTTTCACTGTTTTATCTGTGAATGGAAAAGGCAAGTCTGGTCTCATGATCTAACTTACTTTTAAGAACAGTGTGGTTTTTAGAAAGAAATTGCTTATCATTTGATTTCAACAGTGTCAATATCGTCAACTAAAGATCTTTTTTTTTTGTCCCACTCTGAGGAAATAACGACGTTTTCCCTCAAATGTGAAGTCTCCTAGTTGCCTTTGAACACTATCCTGTAGTTTCATAACAGAAATCACAAATCAAATTGTTTGAAATATTGCAATTGCATATTTCTTTAAATTTGTGCAGGCCTAACTTTGACCTGCTCCTTTTGTTTTTTGCTCATAACTCACGTATTGATGATGAAAGTAAAATTCAAACTCAAACCAAGTAAAAGTTTAAGTTTAAGTTTAATTTATTAAGGCCAATGTGCAGTTGCATTAAAAAAGATCAAACTCATATAGCACTTTTTTGGACACTCAAAAACGCTTCACATGTGGAATAAAATAAAAGAAAAAGAAAAAAGGGGGGGTTTACGGAAAAGCTTGTTTGCAAAGATGGGGTTTGAGTACTGATTTAAAGTTTGGTAGTGAGTCTGAATTTCTAATGGGCAGTGGGAGTGAGTTCCACCGGGTTGGGGTGACAATGGCAAAGGCTAGTGCGGGAGCGAAGGCGGCAGGTGGGTTGGTCTTGATGTAGGGCGGGGCCAGGTTAAACAGGGAGCCAGTGGAGCTGCTGGAGGACAGGGGTGTTGTGTTCTCTGGACCGGGTGTGGGTGAGGAGGCGGGCTGTAGAGTTCTGGATGTATTGCAGTTTTTGGAGATGAGAGGTGGGGAGTCCGTAGAGGAGGCTATTGGAGTAGTTAAGTCTGGAGGTAAATGAAAATAATAAAGAACAATGGCTTATCAAAAAGTCCGCACCCTGACAATTATTTCACCATTACAGTTATTTTCACAAAGCATTAAACGACATTGTCACCTTGAAATGTGTCCTTTCCACGACGACACACAAAATACTGCACCACTTTCCTTTGGCTTCACTCTAAAGTTATGTGCGGTATAATGGGCTGTTTTTCGAGGCTTTGGATGAAGATGGGTGAGATTCTAACCGCTCCCGAAAGCAATTTGCCTACAGTCTACCTCCCCTCCTGCCCCATTTTCCTCACTTTTTGTTCTGCAGTGAGAAACTCTTTTGCGTTAGGAGAAGGGCAGACGGAGGTTTAGGGACGCACTCTGGTCCATTCACACAATCAGTGACGGCGACCGAATCAATGAGTTTTTTCAAAGTCCGTGGAAAATTACCCCTCGCGGTTCTCTGGTAAAAGTCACCTCCAAAATCGAGTCTTTATGAGCTGAGTCAGGTATGGAGATGCTGAAGAGGCAGGACCAGCATGTCTCTGTGGGTTCCAGACTTATTTTTAGTAAAAACACTGGCATGCTCTAATTGTTTTGTCACCAGAAGTTATTTTATTATTGGGCACTTGGGAATGTGACCTTGAATGGTGTTTTCAGCAGAACTCAGAAAAAAGGTTAATGGTTTTCTGTGATTGATATGTGAATGACTCGGTAGCATTGTGTTAGCCGGGAATTTCACATGGAGAATTTTTTTTGCGTTTTAGTGCGTGTGTTGTCTCTCCTTTCTTATTTTTATTCAACAAAATGGCCTTCAGCATGCTCACTTTATTGGCAGGGAAAAAATGGCTGCGTTTAGTTGATCCTAGAAAAGTATTTTGTCGTAGATCATTTGAATTATATCATCGCATTAAATGTTTATGAATAGATAAATAGCTTTTGGCTATTATCACATTGCCAAAGAAAACTGTTGATTATGTTAGATAAATAAATATATTTTGGGTGTTGTCACTATGATTACCATTGCATGACTCGTGTTGCTACTTGTAATATTAAAAAGTTAGCTGCTTAGGTGAACGGTAACTTTGAGTTTGAATTTGTTCATGGAAATGCAAAGAATACAATATACAATAACTTCTACAAAAGGAGGCTATAAATGGGGCAATTCTAACTTAATGTATGTGTGATAATAATAAGAACTTGCATTTCTCAGCGAAACCAGTACTGAACCAGTGATGTACAAATGGTGTACCGCAGGAATTTAATTTTTTTTATACTTCCCCTTTTCTTACGTCTTTGCAAAGTATATCCTTATAATGTTGTTAGATTTTCATTTCCAAACTCTAAATTAGATTATTCAATTAATCAATCAATCAATTACAATCAGTTAATATACAGATTGAGATTGATGGGTCGAATTAGATTAGTGATTTGGTCCCTGTGCCATAAATTGAATATAGATGACGACTACTGGTTAGTCCAATACTTTCTGCATGTTAAAGTGGTATGAAACAATTTGTATCATTTTCCTTTATAAATCATTGGTGATTTGGATTAGAAATATCAGTTGAATATAAAATGATAACAATAATAATACTAATTCATTTTATTTCATGGCGCCTTTCAAGACACAGGGGACGCCTCACAATACATAGTTCCCACAGACCAATGAATGTCACATGACCTCCTCGGAGACGCCATCTTTGATGGCACGCTGCTGTGTTTGTGCATTCCATTAAACAGAAGAATGAGAATAAATGTAGATATTCAAACGCAAATTGGAAAAAAAGGGCAACTTTTGAGCAAATAATTGTATATTAATACAATGGCACCACAGTTTAACGTGCTACGGACATGTTTTACATATTTGATCAAATTATGCAGCAAAAATTAACAAGCAATGCAAACATTTCTCAAAAACTTTAGATTTAATACCAGTTGGAGCTCCATTTAATTATTTTAATTATATTAACAATTAATTTAATTAATGCTAATGCCACACGGACACTCTGGATTGCTGTTATTGTTTATTTCCGCGTTTTTGACCGTATGTTTTGGTGAATGGTGGGCAACTGATTTTTCCAGGCGTAAAGAGCAGTTTATTTTATGACACAGATCTTTTTACAGAAGCAATGCTGTTTGTGAACATTGTTTTAGCCCACCATAGAACTATTATTATCTATTTAATACATTTACGTTGCCCTCGAGAGCCTCGGACGCGACACCGATCCTCCTCATAATAAAGTAATCTAACGCTAAATAATGAAACTCTCAAGTTACCAGCTATCAGCATACACAAGTTAGTACTGAGTAAATTACGTCTGTCAACACATTATTAGATACGATACGCACCTGACACAAAGTGCTCCGAGCATATTCTTGCGTGTTTTGAGGGAGTTTCTTGCCTGTTTATCTTCGCAAGCCATAACCTCCGTGGTTGTTCTGACAAAAGCTTAGTCTTCTCACATTCATGAAGTCTAATGATGGGTATACTGTAAAATCCAAGTTTAACGGAACCTCCGGCACGATTTGAACATCCATTGACCCAGCAGGAGATGACCATTTTCAACTTTATCACGACATTAACACGTTTCAGCTTCTTTTTCTATTGTTTTGCCCACAGAATGCCAAGACAAATGGCGCCGGGTCGGCAAATCCCCGTATGTAGTGACGTCATGTGGGAACTATGTATATATTAAAAACATCACACACAATATTAAAAGTACAGAATGGAATACAAATTATTATATTATTTACAGTGATATTTGAGAAGTGGAATAATGTGTATGTCATTAATGTAAAGTTTGCAAGAATTATTTAAACCATATTAGGCATGTCCATAAATTTAGGCACCACAAAAGAAAAAAAAAATCAACTCAATTGTTTGTAGATCCTCCTTCTGCAGAAATTACAGCCTCTAAATGAGTTGCTTTAAGGCACCCATAATTCCACTTTTCAGCGTAGTTGCAAAGAAGGGAAACATCTATAACTGGCCTATTTAAATACCCTTTCTAATGATTGGAAAATACATTGAAATCTTATCCAAAAAACCAAAAGGATAATCCAAACTTTTGAATTTCAGTTTTCAGTTTTCAGTATCCAAACCCAAGCTTTTTCATGCCACTGTATATTTGATTGTTTCCCACCCCCACGTCAGCCCTCGCATCACGCTCCGCCTCGCAAATAGAAGCAGACACGATTGTCACCCTGCCAGGCAATATTGTCACTCTGGTGTTTCCCCCTATTCTTCACAGGTCATTTAGCGCCTGGGCATGGTCGTAGCCTGAACCGCCGCCTCCGTCATCACTCTCTATGACACTCTGAGGGGGCATCTGTCATCCCCGCTCGCACATCCCGGGTCTGGTCCTGCCTTCCCCCCTTCCCTGTCGGTCGCCGTAGCAACCCGCGGAGATGGGAGGAGCCGTGAGCGCCGGGGAGGACAACGACGACCTCATCGATAACCTGAAGGAGGCCCAGTACATCCGCACGGACATGGTGGAGCAGGCCTTCCGAGCCATAGACCGTGGGGACTACTATCTGGACGCCTACCGGGACAGTGCCTATAAAGATTTGGCGTGGAAGAACGGGAACATTCACCTGTCCGCACCCTGTATATACTCCGAGGTGATGGAGGCGCTCAAGCTGCAGCCGGGACTCTCCTTCCTCAATCTGGGCAGTGGGACAGGCTACCTGAGCACAATGGTTGGCCTGACCCTTGGTATGTAATAAGCATATGTTTGTTTTCTCTGTCAAGGTGAAAACTGAAGCCTCATGTATTTATTATTATTATTATTCATTTTTTATTTCAGGTAAACACAGGTGCATCAAAGTGGCTATTATCATTAAAAAACATATGTATGACAACATCAATAAACAATTTGGCCTGAAAGGGAGTTGGAAGAAACTACCTTATTTACTCCCACCCCATAATGTATCTAACAATTCAATTACACTCTCTGTTTATTTAGAAAACTTCAGTCATTCAAGTTGTACACTTTCTGATTTCTAAAGTTTGTCGGTGTTTTGTAAAAGGGAGATTCCAGGAAGCTGGAGTCGCTTATAGACCGGGCCTCAAAAACAATGCATACAAATGTCATCTTATATAATTATGCAATCCTAAACCAATTTCTAAACGTTTATCAGACAACAGTTATTGCAAACAGGGATGGAATGGGAAAGTCTGAAGGATCAGCGTGACCAAAAACGGGGATGATGATCCTTCAGATAGACTAGATTCAACTCATAATGTCCTTTTTGGGCTGTTAGTTTTCGGATTTTCTTCCCACAAATAGTGAAAACAACACAATCAATAGTAAAGTTATTCTGACAGAATCAATCAAATATTGTTGAATTTTTTGTTATTTTTGTTATTCGACTTCCAATGTGAAACAATGTGAAACAATGTGACAGACTATTTCTGAATCCTTTATTTGGCCTAATACTGATATTTGGCTCACAGATTTATTATCATTAATATCATTAGTCCTTATTAAGACACAATATATGACGGTCCATAGGTAAAAATATACAAAAAATATACAATACATACAGTTTAATGCATATAGAAAAATAACATCTATACATTTATTGTTTATTTATATTATGGACAATCAACACACTGTTGAATAGCACTTGATAATACTTTACAGGGGGCACTTGGATGTATACGGTTTTAAATGTCTCAGAAAATGCTCAAGATATGTCAAATTTTGTCCTGTTTATGTCCTTTCAAACTCAAATTAGCTTGTATTTTTGTGACAAGTTTCTCATTTATCATTCTATAAAATTATAGTCAATACTTTTGACAACCCTGAACACATTCTAACTCACTCCAAACACAGTCTAGCCAGTCTTTTGCATGTTAATAACAACGCTTCTAAATAACCACATTCTTGTATGAAGGACAGATAAATTCCATGTTGTTTGAAGTCTGTGCCCTTGTTAGTGATGCGTCTCGGGGTCAGAGCAGAGACGCTCATTATGGGCAGATTTCACACGTCCATCAGAATCAGACTGGGATCAGGGAGGAGGACCTCAGCGTAATCTGCCTGCAATAAAGAGCTCAAGGCGATAAGAGCTCATCTGTTTAACAAAGATGGACCCAAAGACACCACTTTATTAGATCTCATCGGCAATTATAGAGCGTGTCCTCACTGTGCCGGCAAATCTGTATGTCTGATATGTAGAGATCCTGTGTTAGGAGTATATGTGAGAGAATACACGAGAATTACTTTATTGGGAGTACAGTTACTACTCAAAAATCTAATGAATATATTACCTATAGGTGTAAAGCTGGGGTAGCCACATTTTTTGTCATTTGAAAATATCTATATTTCTAGTTATGGAAGTTTTTTCTAAATCAAGTAATTACTTAATGTTTTGACAATCCTTTCTGGTAGATTTTTCAGAACAATATTATTACTGGTATGTTTGTGTAAGCCCTCAGTCATACAGGGATTAGTCAAAGCAAAGGAAGGTTTCTCACCCATCATCTGTACTTCTTAGCAAGTTTTCCCGACGCTTCATCCTCAATCCAAAGGACGGGCGCTCTGAGAATTCATTCCCTGAAGAAGTCCTTTGGATTGAGGACGAAACGTCGGGAAAACTTGCTAAGAAGTACAGATGATACAGATGATGGGTGAAAAACCTTCCTTTGCTTTGTGATTATTACTGGTATATTTCAATTAAGCAAAAAAACTGAACCAAATGTAAACAAGGCTTGTAATTTTATAAGCTTTATTAAACTGCTAGATATTTTTTGGGTTCAGTGTTTAGACTAAAATAATGTGGTAATTGTGGAGAAAAAAATTGCCTAATAATAATATTTACAATACCATGTGAACCATATTAACCTTTTATTATAAACGCTACAAATGTATATAATAAGAATTGATAATCAGGGGCCACCTACATTGATCTCGCGGGTCGGATGTTAGATATGCCTGATTTAACTAATGCATTGACTTTCTCCCAACACTGTTCAAATGTTCATGGAAACTTGTGTTTCAGTACTTGTGTATATGACATGACACCAGTGGCAGGTAGGGGGAGCACTTCCACATCTGTTGATGTTGAGTCATGCCTCAAGAGCTTAAACACTGGAGCTAATGTCTGTGTCCAAACTGACAAGAATTACTATTACTTTCAAATATGAATTATAATATCGACAAATCCTTTTTAAATGTCCCATGGAGGTGTTGAGAGCGAGGGTTTCTTAGACATGTTATACTTACTGCTTTATTATGCTTAAGTCAGAGATTTTATACTTGCTTCTTTATTATGCTAAAGCTAGAAAGTATTATTATTATTTTTAAAGTTATTAATCACTTATTATTTGCTGTGTGCTCCTCATTCCTACTATTCTGTAATTGGTGATGCAACACTGACATTTTCATCTAATAGCAGTAATGGGCTAAGCTATGGACTGACAATATTTACATAAATCCATCATGTTTTTAAAATGCATTTATTGTGTTTTTAAGGATCAGTCACCCGAAATTACCAAAAAATGAGCCTCACAAGTGCAGAAATGGAACATATTATTCCCCATGTCTTTTTACATTTGTTAATCATTGTCTATGAGTTTTGTTACTTTCAAAAACATTCTTCTGTTAAGTAGAACCTATTACTCAAGTAAAGCATGATATGATGGACAGTATCTGTGATGTTTTTAGTAAAGAAACTCCTTGAGCTCCTGCTTCCAGAACACTTTCTTTGCAGCAACCTGGCATTCCACGAACATTTCCCTAAATCGCTCTGACTTGTTTTTCTTACATATTTTATTTTAGTAGTCCTTTGTCTCAGGGATACACCTTTTTTGTCTGTTTCACGTCTCATGTTTGAAAATACTCTAGTGCCTGAAGTGTTAATGTGAATTGATGCAAAGACAGAGGACAAACTATCATCAAGGGAAGTCATGCATAAAACATACTAAACCCTTTAGGCCCCGTCGGTGTAGGATCGCTGCTTTGAGCCTATGACTCCAGGGCACTTTGTTTGCACAGGTTTACCTTCCCTCAGAGGTTCTCGTACCTTTTTCCACACATTTTTGTCTTTTATTTACAGGACCTGTTTTTAGTAGTCCTCTGTCTCTTATAAAGTTTCTAGGCTCAACTTTTTGTCCCTCTCCCTTTCTACAAAACTTACTTCCAAAGGGATAAATATAATACACAATAAAACTAAATCAGCGGGGAAAGACCAGTCGGTGCAATAGGTTGCATTTATGTGACATCACAGTGTTCCAAAGAGCTGATATTATAACGTTGCGGTGGAGGGTAGTTGAAAAGTCTGTCCTGGTAACTATGGTAACTGTCAAATTCAGACTTCAAGTTGTAATTCCTGGGCTAATCCACATTAAATACAATGTGGCATAAAGTTTCTTATCTTATTTGGTGGGGTACCTACAGGTACATGCGAAAGCCAGTCCCTGTCACACCTTTGAAACTAAGCATGTCAATTCCTGGTTAGTACTGTGATGGGAGACCTTTGGGAACCCAGGTGCCACTCTGGAGCAGCTGAGGCTGTAAAGAGACAATTTTTTACCCACATTAGAATGAGTCTGGTGTGTGTGAATGGTTGGTGGTAATCAGAGGGGCGGATGGCCCATACTGGTTGCTTCGCTTTTGTCATTTTCCCCCCAGGGCAGTTGTGACTACAATAGTAGTTTTTCAGCGTATGGAGTGCAATGATAACAACATGAAAGCGTCTTTGAGTGTATAAAAACTGCTATAAAAAAAAATTGATGCTTTGTTATCCATCCATCCATCCATCCATTTTCTACCCTTTAATCCATTTCTGGGTCAGGGGGGTGGCAATCAGAGATGCCACCCAAGTCTCATAGCACCAGCCCCTCACTGACCCTCTGCAGGTGGTGAGTCCACAGGAGGACGGCTGCTCTCTGAGTGTGAGCATAGCCTTGATCTTTCAGTGGGGGCTTTGGGCAAAGTGGGGTTAAGTGTCTTGCCCAAGGACACAACGACAGAAGTCATCAGTGGGAGTTGATGGAGAAGGTGCAGAGGTGGGAATTGAACCCACAACCTTCTGGCCTTAAGACCAATGCTGCTTTGTTATTGTAACCCTCATTCACTGTGTTTTATGTGAGTGGTCCCAACACACCCAGCTTCTGGACTCTGCGTTGTGTTGTTTATGAGTGATAGGTGTGGTGGTGAGAGAAGGACCACAGCAGACACAGCAGTTCGATTTTGATTGTGGAAGTGCAGTTTTACTTTGAGGTTCTTGAAAGAAGTTGCTTGGCTCATGGGACCTTACAACGTAAAGGCAAAAAGAAAAGAGGGCGGATGACGCATTACGCAGCCAATTGACGCTGGCGCTACGGTGGCCAGCCCAGAACATAAGGACCATAATAAAAATAAGGCCGTCACCCGAAAGAGAACCAGTCCGAGTGCCCCATCTAGTGGTCACTCCCTTACATCCACCCCTCCTTTAATTGATGGCGTCCGACCATCAGACACCCCCAGTCGAAAACGACAACAACAACAAAAAAACCCATAACACACAACAACAACAAAAAGTTCAGTGTGTACATTCATGTGTGACCACAAATCCTTTTTTCTTTTACTCTTTGCCATATTTCTCTTCCTCTATCAATCTTTCTTTGGACACTGTCCCCCCCCATCACTTGGGTCTCATATGAAAGTCTCTTTGGAGGACAACGTTTCCTTACAGGATTTCTCCTTGTGGTACAGGGCTCTGGTGATGGGAAACACAGTTCATCAATCTCTTCCTCCCCCAGCCCTGCTAACGTTTCTGCCCCGGTTGAGGTCAGTGGGACTGGGGCTTGGCCAGTACTTATGGGGTCGGGGCAGTCGGCTGACTCCCCTACATCCTCCCCATCTGACTCCTCCATATTGTCAATGTCTTGTTGCTCATGTTCACTATCTGTTGCATTGCCGTCCTCCTGTGACGTTTGTCTCTGCTGCACAGGGAGAAACATGCACTGTGTTAATAAGTTGCGATGAACCACTCGCTCTGCTCCCCCAGCCTCTCTCCTTATCACATATACTGGGACGTTAACCTGCTTTTTGAGTACAATGTATGGGTGCGACTCCCATTTATCTCCCAGTTTCTGGCGACCCTCAACATGACAAATCTTTAACAGCACCCTATCCCCTGGATTGAAAACCTGATCCTTAGCTCTTTTGTCATAGTGCTTTTTCTGCATCTCTTTAGCTTGGTGTGAGGACTGATTAGCCTGGGCGTACGCCTCGGATAAGGCGGTGTGCAAGGTTTGGACATATTCAGAGTATTCACATGGTGTGTTCTCAGTGGAGAGCCGAAAAACCAGGTCGACGGGGAGTCTGGGGTGTCTGCCGAACATAAGATAGTATGGCGTATACCCAGTGGAGTCGTGCTGTGTACAGTTATACGCATGAGTCATCGCATCAACATGTTCGTGCCAGCGAGGCTTTTGGTGGGGTTCAAGAGTGCCGAGCATATTCATTAATGTGCGATTAAAACGTTCTGTGGTGCCATTGCCCTGTGGGTGATATGGCGTTGTGTGAGTTTTAGTGATGCCTACACATTTGCACAGCTCTTTAACAATGGCGCTTTCAAAATTTCTGCCCTGGTCTGCATGGAGCTTGGCAGGGAATCCGAAGCGACAGAAGTAGTTTTTCCACAATGTTCTAGCCACTGTGCTAGCCTTCTGATCTCTGGTGGGGTACGCTTGAGCGTAGCGAGAGAAGTGGTCTGTAACAACGAGGACGTGTTCAATGCCCCCTCTAGATCTTTCTAATGTTAAAAAGTCAACACAAACCAGTTCCATTGGGGCACTAGTGTGGATACTGACCAGAGGGGCTCTAAGTCCTGCTGTAGGAGTTTTCCTCAGGCAACACCTTTCACATTGCTCGCACCATGTCTTGATCTCATGAAACATTTTGGGCCAGTAAAACCGCTCTCTTATCATTTGCAAAGTCCTCTCAAAGCCCAAGTGCCCTGAGTCATCATGGAGGGTGATTTTGACTTTTTTGCGTAATATCTCAGGTAGTAGAAGCTGCTCCACTATACCCCTTTGTTGGTCTTTGACTTTTCTGAACAAGATTCCGTTTGTCACCACCAACCTCCTCCACTCCTTTAAGAGAAGGCGCCCCTGCACACTCATCTCGGCCCTCTCACAGCGGCTTGGTTTTTGATTGCGGGTCCTTGAGAACAGGACAGGGCCAATGATAGAGTCCTCTCTTTGGGCCAAACGTATCTCATTTGTGGTCAATGCCGGGAGCGATTCTGTTCCCACATCAGTGTAGGGCTCATTAGTGTTGCTATCACTCCGGTGCGCATCACTTGTAGTGGGGGAGTTTACAGGTACAGGAAAACCACTGTGACATGTAACCTGAGGGCAAGAAAGCAGGGCTTTGGCGACATCTTGATCGGACATCCGCGAGAGTGCATCAGCATTTGCATTGTTTCTGCCACTCCGATACTGTATGTCGAAGTTGAAAATGGATAGTTGTGAGACCCAACGCTGGCCTGTTGCATCGAGTCTAGCTGAGGACATCACATACTTAAGGGGGTTATTGTCTGTCAGAACTGAAAAATTGCGGCCATACAAATGATCGTAGAACTTATCCGTTACTGCCCATTTAAGGGCAAGAAATTCGAGTTTATGCGCAGGGTACCGGGTCTCAGGTGGTGTAAGGCCCCTGCTAGCATAGGCTATCACTCTCTCTTGCCCTCCCTGGATCTGTGCCAACACTGCCCCCAAACCGCCACCAGATGCATCGGTTTGGAGTACAAATGGTTGACTGTAATCTGGGTAACCAAGTATTGGTGCAGTAACAAGTTTTTCTTTTAGCAGTGAGAAGGCAATCTCGCACATAAGTATGTGATGTCCTCAGCTAGACTCGATGCAACAGGCCAGCGTTGGGTCTCATTATTATTATTATTATTTGTCAGTACATAGCAACTAATAAGATTAAGATTAAGAGATCCTTTATTCATCCCACAGTGGGGAAAATGTTATGTTGCATCACAAGTTACAGAAAGTATGGTGACAATTTATCAAAATGGTGTCAAAACATTCAGAAAACATGCATGATGTTGGCCAGCAGAAGGACAGACATCAGAATAATGTGTTTTCTCAGATCAAATGATTATCTGGGAAAACATTTGGAAAGTTTTGTTTTTCAACATTTCTTTTAAGTATTGCTGATTTCTCTCATAGAGTTGTATTGGCCCCTGCCATCTGACTGAAACAGAATTCTAAACATTTATACAGTCAGTATGTCATAAAACCCTTGAATTCCTATTGATCACTGCTGTATTTCCAGGGCCCTATGGAGTGAACCATGGAGTGGAGCTGCACCGAGACGTGGTGGAGTACGCCCTGGATAAACTGGACTACTTTATAAAGAATAGTGACAGTTTCGATAAGTGAGTATCAGTCATGTTCACATTCAAAGCACACAAACACACACATCAAACTCATTTACAAGCTCGCACTAACACTTGCCTTGTTCGCTCTTTTCTCTCTCAGGTTTGAGTTTTGCGAACCCGTCTTTGTAGTGGGGAATTGCCTTGAAATCGCTACAGACAGTCACCAGTACGATCGGATTTACTGCGGGGCCGGAGTTCAGAAAGACCATGAAAATTACATGAAAGTGCTGCTCAAAATTGGAGGGATTCTTGTGATGCCTATAGATGACCAGGTAAGCTCCACCAAGCCACTCATCCGCAGAAAATTTATCCAACCTGCATTGCTTTTTCAAATTGTAAAGCATCAGAAATAAGGGTTAAAACCGTTTCGACCTACAGGGCTGGTTACACAAGTTTTGGTACATGCATTATTTAGCGAGGGCTGCCCCTGGACTCGTGCAGCCATGGACGGTGGGCTATAGAAAATAATGTTTTATTTAAAATGGTGAATGGATCGAGGCTGGCAACACGACCTTCACAATATTTGAGTAAGTGAGAAAAGAAAGCCAACAGCTTAGCCCCTATAGACCAGCAGGACCAAGACCCACGTATAGATTAGGACTTTTAAAAAGAGGATTTATGGAATTATATGTGTAGTAGAAGTGTAGTAGAACGAAATATCATCACACTGACTGATTGATCCACTTCACTAGAAATGTGCATTAATGTCAAACAAATCATGAGATCAATTACTGAAATATTTGCAAAAATTGAAAGTCAATGATTGTTCCTTTTAGCTAGCATTACATTATAAATAAATCATATTATACTTATTTCTTATCATTGAAGTATTTGTGAATGAATTGTACTAACTTAGTGTAAATTATTCTCTCTTGATAAGGTTTGATTTGTGTATTTGTCCATTTAGTTTCCAATTTCTTTAGGTTAATTCGCACTGATCAGAATGTTACTTCGGACCTACAGTTTGTATTTCTGGAACGACAATGCCAAAAAATCTGACATTATAAAAGTGGATAAGGGCTTGAATCACGCAGAATTTATCAAAAGTATACATGTGGAACTAGCTGGTTCAATCTCATTTAAAGAATAGTAGCATTCATCTCATTCCATGTGAGTCATTTTTTTGCCCTTTCTTGATTTTAAAGGTGCATTGTGCAACCGTTCTGATGTGGTCCGCTACCTGCTTGTTGTCATGGAGATGTGTTTTGCCTTGCTTGGAAACTTGTCTTAAGAAATATGGCCAAACTTGGACATTATTTCATTACAAATATTTTTACCGTTCAAAAACCTGTATTCGTTTGTTGTCGCTAATGTAACCATAAAATGTTAATCCATTCTGTGGAACTTATCAGGCCAGAAGCAGACCCTTCGATTGTAAAGTTGCAGAAAACATGGGACATTATCCTTGTTCCATTGTCTAAACCATTTAAATCATAATAATTAATTCGTAAAATAAATAATAAATGAGCTAAGATACAATCACAGCATATTCAGTTGCATTGTCTATAGCAATGAGAATAACAATGAAAAGGCCTGCGTCATCTTTTCAATAGAAATTACTCGCATACAAACAGTTTGGAATTACATTAAAACATTCTTTCTAATTTAATTTAAAGAAGGAACATAACAATGTAGAATACATGTAGAGAAAAAGAGAAAAAAACGTTCTTGACTATAAATGGTTTCTTCCCTCCACAAGCCATGGGTGGAAAAATGCTTTGAATTCTGTGAACCGTGGCAAAGAAATCTTACATTCTGTCAGGGTGTGCAAACTTACGAGCTCTGTACGTATTGACACGACTTTCAATGTGACGACGAGTTTCCACAAGTTGCTTTTATGCCGTCCCAAGGTTGCATCAGAAAGAACATTTTCTTCACATAACTGCAATGATTCGCCGTAGCCTCCTCGTATGAAATGGTCCAAAATGGAATAAAAAGCAATTCAGAGAGACATGTTTCACACGGGCGACCAAAAGATTATTGTAATAGAACCAGTGTCTTGTGAGATGTGATTTCTCATACAGCCATAATGATCCATTTCTGATCTATTATTCAGGCCTCCCTTTCTTCATATGTCATTCTAATTCAATCACGCAGACTTTTACAGACGCGCTCGCTGTTCACTGACCTCACACATGAAGAAGCGAACCCAGACTGGCGTTAGTTGTGGTTGGCAGGTCAAACAATGACTCATGAAAGACATTATGGTGGAGCCGTGGATGAAGGGGGAGCTCGTTGTATTTGGGGAGAAACGGAATGAAGGGATGTTGTCTCCGCTTGGCCTTAAAGAGGTATTATGTATCTTTTTTAATGAGGTGGGTGTTGTAAAATAGATTTAGATTAAGATGAAGAGATAATAATAATAATACATTTCATTTATATTGCAACTTACATTTCCAGGAAACCTCAAAGTGCTGCATATTCAAATACAAAATCACACATTTGTTCCACAGTGGATACATTTCAGTGTTGCATCACATAACACAAGATAAGTTAACATTACAGACTAAAATAGAATAACATTAAAAAAAAAACTGCTAAGTATAAAATCTTCACATAATAATAGCCTGGTGTTACTATAGTGTACTCATTTCATTTAAAGAAAACCGAAGGATTTAAGAAGAAAAAAAGTCCAGGATGGCAAGGGACACTAAAATCCACACAAAATGTGATCTTTATGAAAGCTGTAGGTTCTCTGTCAGCTGAGGTCGAGCTGTTTTAATTTACATTGAGTTCTATAGGACCTTTTTCTGGGTAGCCCACGTGAATTTAGTCTGCAGAACCACGGGCGCCCCCTGTGCCCATGGGTGGGACAGCTGTAAGCTAGTAATATCCTATCCAGTTATTATTATAGATCCATGCTTAGGCCAGGCTAGCATAATAAAGAAGCAAGTAGAAAATCTCTAGCTTTAGCATAATAAGGAAGAAAATTTAAAATCTCCAGCTTTAGCATAATGAAGAAGTAAGAATTTAGTACAACATCTCTTTCATTTGCATGATAAAGAGTAAGTATAAAATTCTGTATATTCTAATGCAAGAAATATATAGTTGTATGTATACGTCTGTGCATGTTAGCAGCCTGAGGGAATGGATGGATTTAAATGGACAATTCAAATAGTTGTAAGTCAGTGATTTGTATTTGTACACCGGGCAGTTCACAGACCAACATCACAAAGAACTGTACAATTTTTGGTGCACAGGTAATTCTCATTCACACACAATAAATGATAGTATAAACTCCTAGTGAAGGCTCAGGCCATCACCAACCTTTCCGTTACATTCAGACCAATTGTACATGTTTTTAGTAGTAGGGGAAACTTGAGCACTCGCCTAGTTGTCAACGATGCCTTCCCACTGTCACTCTATACACACACTTTTCTTTCACATTAAATTAATTAAAACATTTGCAATTAAAACATGGTCATGTTTCAGCAATAGGGCAGGACTAAATACACAAGTGCACGGATTTGTCTGTATTTGTCGTCTTTAATATGATTCCTTTAGTAATACCATATTGCGGCAGTATGACCTGCAGGCGGGCTCTGCCATTTTAATAGTGGTACGTGTATGAAAAGAGGCATCAAAAGAGCTTAGAAATATTTGGTGACATTCTGTTGCCAGCTACCATAGATGCCACGCTGAGGTTTTGTAGCTTTGCCTTTTTTTTCGTAACCTGAAGATGAAGTCTGTAGTGCGTCTGGAAATGTGCACCACTCTTTGTCAGCAAGAACTAAACCTGGACTGTACTTTAATGTTTGAACCAGCTTAAAACTCGAGGCTAATTTTTAGATATTGCACAAATACAGAAAACGTTAATGTTAATCTGTCTCTGTCTCTTTATGAAACGTACTTGTGGTGTGCTTTTAAAATCATTCATTCAAAAGGTTCAATAATCATTTAATTTACACACCACCCGGTTACACATACCGCGGTAAATACTTATTTTATGTCCAGACTTTTGCCATTTGTTTTTGTTTTCTCCTGAGTCACTAATGGCGTCCCACTTGGCTTTTGAGTTTTCCCCTTGTCGATGGAGGGTCGGAAGGCAAGGATTTGATCTGGAACTTTATGATCATTGCTCTTTTATCATATGGACCAATAACTCGTTGTTTTATCGGTGTATTTTTGTATGTGTTCTAGTTGTTTGGTTTTCTAATCTGCTGATGGCGAGGCAACAATTCTGAGATGCCTTTTGAAATGACTGCTGTTCATGAGTTTGGGCGATATTAAAGAAAATTGGATTGAACTGAATTAAACGAAATCTTACTTGAGGGCTAATCTTTTAAGGCCTGGGAACGGATCCAAAAACCATTTATATATTCGTATAGATAGAGTGATAGATACTTTATTGATCCCCGTCAGAGAAATTCAGGTGTCCAGTCGCAGCAAAAATAAAAAACAAAATTGATCATTCAAAAAAGCTAACAATAGTAATAATCAGCAACAGCCCTTCAGGTCACAGCAGCAGAGGTGGAGTAGCCTCTGGGTGGAGCAGGACGGGTCACAGTAGCAGAGGTGGAGTAGCCTCTGGGTGGAGCAGGACGGGTCATAGCAGCAGAGGTGGAGTAGCCTCTGGGTGGAGCAGGACGGGTCAGAGCAGCAGAGGTGGAGTAGCCTCTGGGTGGAGCAGGACGGGTCACAGCAGCAGAGGTGGAGTAGCCTCTGGGTGGAGCAGGACGGGTCATAGCAGCAGAGGTGGAGTAGCCTCTGGGTGGAGCCGGACGGGTCACAGCAGCAGAGGTGGAGTAGCCTCTGGGTGGAGCAGGACGGGTCACAGCAGCAGAGGTGGAGTAGCCTCTGGGTGGAGCAGGACGGGTCATAGCAGCAGAGGTGGAGTAGCCTCTGGGTGGAGCCGGACGGGTCACAGCAGCAGAGGTGGAGTAGCCTCTGGGTGGAGCAGGACGGGTCATAGCAGCAGAGGTGGAGTAGCCTCTGGGTGGAGCCGGACGGGTCACAGCAGCAGAGGTGGAGTAGCCTCTGGGTGGAGCAGGACGGGTCATAGCAGCAGAGGTGGAGTAGCCTCTGGGTGGAGCCGGACGGGTCACTAGGTTGAGTAGCCGCTTGGTTCGGAGCATTTTCTCTGCTCTAGTCCAAAGTAAAATGCTAAATGGTTCATTAGCATTTTTCAGAAAGTTAGCATTCCTCCAATGGATTTTCACCTGATCCACTTGGTTCGGACCATAAATCCTCTCCGCTCCAGTCTGGACCAGTATATGAACACTGTACTGCAGCAACATCTTAGGTAGAAAAAAGGAAGAAAAATAAAGTATAT